CGCAGCAGCGAAACCCCGCCCCCAACCCCCAAAATATATCCCAAAAAAATTCCAAAAAATCCCCAAAATATCCCAAAAAAATTCCAAAAAATCCCCAAAATATCCCAAAAAAATTCCCCAAAAAAATCCCCCAAAAAATCCCCAAAAAATAAAAAAAATCCCCCAAAAATTCCAAAAAAATCCCCAAAATATCCCAAAAAAATCCCCAAAAAAAATCCCCCAAAAATCCCAAAAAAATAATAAAAAAAAAAATTCCAAAAAATATTCCAAAAATATAAAAAAAAAATTTTCCAAAACTATCAAAAAAAATCCCAAAATATCCCAAAATGTCCCCAAATGTCCCCAAACGCCCCCCCCTCACTCACCCCCGCCAGTTGGGACCCCGCGAGCAGCAGCTGAGCCTGGGGAGGGGGCGCGGGCTGGGGAGGGGGCGGCTCCGGACCCGTCACCTGCGGGATTTGGGGCAAATCCGGGCAAATTCGGGCAAATTCGGGAGCTTTGGGAAGGTTTGGGGTGGGATTTGGGGAAATTCGGGGAAAATTCGGGGGGTTTTGGGGGGATTTGGGGTAAATTTGGGGGGATTTGGGGGAGTCTGAAGGGATTTGGGGGATTTGGGGTTGGTTTGGAGCCGATTTTGGGGCGTTTCCAGGTGATTTTGGGGGTGATTTTGGCGATTTCGGGAGGATTCGGGTGATTTTTGGGGTGATTTTGGGGCTGATTTGGGCAATTTTGGGGGTTTTGGGAGTAGTTTTGGGGGTGATTTGGGCGATTTCGGGGTGATTTTGATTTTTGGGGTGATTTTGGGGATGATTTGGGCAATTTTGGGGGTTTTGGGAGTAGTTTTGGGGGTGATTTGGGCGATTTCGGGGTGATTTTGATTTTTGGGGTGATTTTGGTGATTTTGGGGGATGATTTGGGCAATTTTGGGGGTTTTCGGGGTGATTTTGGTAATTTCGGGGCGATTTTGGCGATTTTTGGGGTGATTTTGGGTGTTTTCAGTGCGTTTGGGGCGGATTTTGGGCCGTTTTTGGCCGATTTGGGGCGGATTTTGGGGGCCCCCCCCCCCCATTTCCTGTTTTGCCGCCGCCGCCCCCGCCCGGGATTTCCCCGCCCCTCCCCCACCCGCCCCTCCCCCACCCCGGGCACCAAAACAGGAACGGGAGGGGGGAGGGGCGGGATTTGGGGGATTTGGGGCGGGATTTGGGGGATTTGGGGCGGATTTGGAGCGGATTTGGGGAAGGAATTTTGGTGAATTTTGGGTGAATTTTGGGAGGATTTTGGGAGGATTTGGGGTGGATTTCGGGGAGGATTTTGGGGATGATTTTGGGGGGATTTTGGGTGGATTTGGGGTGGATTTCGGGGAGGATTTTGGGGATGATTTTGGGGGGATTTTGGGTGGATTTGGGGTGGATTTCGGGGAGGATTTTGGGGATGATTTTGGGGGGATTTTGGGTGGATTTGGGGTGGATTTCGGGGAGGATTTTGGGGATGATTTTGGGGGGATTTTGGGTGGATTTGGGGTGGATTTCGGGGAGGATTTTGGGGATGATTTTGGGGGGATTTTGGGTGGATTTGGGGTGGATTTCGGGGAGGATTTTGGGGATGATTTTGGGGGGATTTTGGGTGGATTTGGGGTGGATTTCGGGGAGGATTTTGGGGATGATTTTGGGGGGATTTTGGTGAATTTTGGGGTGGATTTTGGGGGTCTCTCTCTTACCTTGGCGCCGGGGGGGGCGGGGCCGAAGGGGGGGGGTTTGTTCTGCTGGGCCTGGGGGGGGGGGGGGGGGGGAAAGGGGTTTTGT